TTTTGAAAGTACAATGCCCTAATAAAAAATATTTTGAAAGTAAATTGCTGTAATAAGAAAAACTGAAAGTAGAATGCTATAATAAAGAAATTTGTGAAAGTAGTTTGCTATTTTGCGCATTTTGTCCTTTAGTTTTTAAACGAGTTGTTAATTATGGCACACTTAATTAACTTAACATGATGTTCTAAAACGGATTTTGATTATAGTTTCAGCAAGTGTGATGATGTATATATGTTTGTCCAAAGGAAGGAACAAGTTTGACATAATCGCTAGAACGAAAACAAATTCTAGAATTTTCAATGGCGGATTAATCAATCCATATGCAACTCGATACCAGAATGTGTCTTTAATTTCCTTAAATATATATAAATACATACTTAATTACATACACAGCATCTTCATGTTGCACACTCCATAAGAATCATAACAATGGTACCCTCCATCTCTCCGCTTCTGTCTACTTCTCCATCTTCTGTTGCAGACCTGCAACAATGGGCTGATCGATTCAGCAAAAACTTCCAAAACCATCTACTGGTCGACACTGATCTTCCTGTCTGCATCTTTCAAGTACCTGAAACTCTAACCACTGAAAATCCAGAGTCTTATGTTCCACAGCACATTGGTATGGGACCAATCCACCATTTTCAGACCGAAGTCTATAGCAAACAAGAACAGCGAAAACTTACGACAGCGAAAACAGTGCTAAAACCCTACAGAATTACATCTGATTTCGCAAAAATCGTAGTTGAGATTCTCCAACAACTTGTTCCAGAAATCCGATGCTGCTACGACTTATATTTTGATATCAGCGACGATCATTTGGCATGGGTTTTTGCTTTAGATGGCATCTTCTTGCTCGATATCTTATCAAATGTATCGGAGGGGGGTTCGTTGGAGTCTTTCGAAGATGTTGTGATGCTTGAAAACCAAATCCCACTCGTGGCATTGGTCGAAATCCGGACTGCTCTCGAAGAACACTTATCTGGTGATTGTAACAACTCTTTTCTTTCGAATTTGTTGGTTAAAGTTTGTGAAACACGATCACCTCTTAAGTTCAGTAGACGAATATCTCGACTCGATCTTGACATAAATTGCCGTCTTCATTTGCTGGATTGCATGTACCATTTGATTGTAAACCATAACGTAGCAGCAAAAACCCAGTTTCTTCGACCGAATTTCTTGGATGATATAGATCTAGAAGATGTTGAAAGTGCAGTTCAAATGGCAGGAGATTTATGCCCTGGAGCAAATGCTTTTCTGCAACCCCTTTTGCTCGTATTGAAATTGCCATGGGACAAGATTATTTCTTGGATCAAGAAAATGTTGGGAGAAAACCCTGTGGTTCTTGAAATCGATATCCCTTCAGCTTCAGAGCTTTCAAGAATTGGGAAGATCGAATTTTGTATGACTCCCGGAGGCATTCGTGATGTTGAGTTTGACGATGAAACACTTACGTTTTACCTCCCGATACTTGGTCTAAAATCCGATTCAGAAGTTATCCTACGAAATTTGGTAGCCTATGAAGGGTTGATGTTCAAGAAAGGTAACATTACGAATCCTGATTTCACCGAATATGTTGATTTAATGTGTGGGATCATCGATAGCGTAAAGGATGTGAGGATCCTTCGTGAAAAGAACATAATCGAAGGCGATTTGGATGACGACGAAATCGTGAAACTGTTCAACGGAATTAGCAAATCGAGCACGAAACAAGATGAGATGTCCGGTTTACAAAAAACCATCGAGAAAATTAATAAGCATTACGGTAACGTGCCGAGGGTTAAAGCGTATACTTTCATCAAGAAACATTTTCTTGCGTGGTGGAAAGTTATCGCTATCGTGTTCACTGTAAAACATATTGAATCCAAATATTTGACGTTTATTGAGTTTAACGTAAGTAATACAGAACCATAACAAGAACAGAAATATAACTACAAATCTTAAAATACTGTTGATAATACGAACAGATGAACAGAAATACTAACAGTGATCTGAAGTTTGTATGAAAAGATGAAGAACAGGTTGCTATCTTCAAACTCAGGTAAGAGAGATATTTGAGAGAAAACCTAATTATTTTGAGCTAAAAAGAATGAATTGTATGAGATGAGACGGTTCACTTTTCTTTATATATCTTTTGTCTTGTACAGCTTTGCCCCTTCAACTTTGTAGACAATTGCTCCGCTAACCTTCATCTATTGTAGAAAGTGAGGCGCAGTC